TTGGTAGAATTCTTCTATTTCATCTTCACTGGCTTTAGTGGTTGGTGCATAAATTTGAATAACAGTGCTATTAATTGAGCTTCCCTTTAGGCTCATGGATATTATCCTATCACTGACAGCATTGTACCTCATGACTGATCTGGATATGTTCTTTTTCATGATGAATGCAACACCATTCCTTTTCAATTTGTCATTCCTGGCATAGTAAACCACGTGGTCATCAGATTCAGAATGGCCAATACCAGTCCATTTCAGCTCACTAATGCCTAAGATATCGATGTTGATGCGTTCCATTTCATTTTTGACAACTTCCAATTTTTCCAGATTCATACTTCATACATTCCATGTTCTGATTTTCAATGGATGTTTACAGCTGTTTCTCTTCATTTTAAGTTGTGGCCCATAAGCAAATGAAGGTTCTGTGCACTTTTCTCCCCCGAGCTTAACTCTATTCACGTTATCATGGTCAACTCTACTTTGAGGAGGCATTTTTTTGCCACACATAGGGTCTCTATAAGTTGACGTCTATTCAGTGGTAATTGGTTTGTTTGGTTTCAGTCTACGAGTATGATAGTATAAAACCAGACCCCTTGATATCAAGTTGATTTTGACTTACAGTGACCAGTAGGACAGAGTGCGACTGCCCCAGTAGGTTTCCAAAGCTGTCATGTTCATAAACATGAACTGCCCCATCTAGCAGCTGGTGGGCTCACTCTGCCAACCTTCCAGTTAGCATCTGAGAGCTTACCCGCTGTGCCACAAGGGCTCCATGCATTATTGTTGGTGATAGGAAAGTGAGCTTTTCCCCAGTTCAGATGACATGTATGGTGGCGCTGGCTGGGTGTTCAGCAGGCTGAGACACCCCAGGTTTGGGGACCTAATGGGTGTCTATCTGCCCTGTGTGCAGCAGGAACTCATCCACAGCATCAGCCGGAAACTTCAGGTGCTGCGGGAAGCCCGGGAGACGCTGCTGGAGGACATCCAGGCCAACAACGCGCTCGGGGACGAGATGGAGGCCATTGCCAAGGATGTCTGCAAGCCCAACGAGTTTGACAAGTTCCGTATGTTCGTCGGGGACCTGGACAAAGTGGTGAACCTCCTACTGTCCCTGTCGGGCCGCCTGGCACGTGTGGAGAATGCCCTCAATAACCTGGATGACAGTGCTGCTCCTGGAGACCGGGTGTGTGTTCACGGTTCCCTCGGGGAGTCGGAGGAGCTGTCCCTGGGGGCAGGAGAGCTATGTCCTTGCCCCGTTCACTCAGCAGCCTGACCTCCCCAATGCAAGACTCCCGTGCTCTGTCTCTCTCCTCCTCCCTTTTGGAAAATTGTATGCTGTGTGGTGGTTGTGGTGTTGAGTGGAATCAAACTCATGGGGCCCCTCTCTCTGTGTGTCAGAATACATCGGTCCGTAGTGCTTTGAAAGTACACAGCCATGTGTGTCTTTAATGGTGCCTCTCGTTCAGTTTGTACCCACCATTCTTCTGGTGAGTACTCCAGCGATTAATGGTTGCCACCCCCCAGGTGGAAACTGATTTACATGGAAGGAAAAAGTTGCCAGTAAGATGCAGTGACTTGAACTATGGTCACTGGTGCGCCTGGCTGCTGGGCCCTTCAAAGAAAGAGCTGCTGGCTCCTCGTGACGTTTGCTCACGTGTACATCAGTCTTTGCTATGCACTGTCTTGTCCTACACAGCAGCCTTTTAAAAAAATATTTCTTTAACCCTGTATCTGTGTGTGGCATTGTGTCCCCACCATCAGTTCAATGTGTCACCGTTGACACTGCCTGGTGAGCCCATGGGCACCCATATGCACCATACGTTACTCCGTGGTTTTTCTGGAGTAGAGTGCCAGGTCTTGACCATTAATGTGCAAGGTCTAACCCACGGGCCTATTTCACAGATGAGGACCTTGAGGCACCGAGCAGCTCAGTCCTTGATTTTCATCTTCCTTGGTGTGTGGGAAACGGTCCCATGTCCACCTACAGGTGCAGAGCCTCGTCCGGGACCTCCCTTGTGGCAGGCTTGGAGATCAATTTGCCTTCCAAGGGTGGAGCTGCACAGGTGGGAAATGACAAGCTTTCAGTGGCTGTCCTGGTGCCTAGCTACAACACAAACTCACATGCCTTCATTGAGTCCTTGGCATTTCCCAACACATCATTTTTTTAAATGTGTGTAGAGGCAATACTGTATTTGCATCATCTCATGTAAGAATCTCATGATATCATAGTTTGGTAAGTTGTTTGTTGTTGTCAAGTGCGGTTGAGTCAGTTCTTAGTCATAACAACACCCTGTATAAGGTTTCTGAGGTTGTAAATCTTTTCAGAAGCAGAATGTCTCATCTTTCTCTTGCGGTATGGCTGGTGAGCCCACTGCTTATCCTGCAGAGCCGCAGCACTCCCCGAATTTGGTCTAGAAGGTACAAGTGTATACCATGAACAGCACTGGAATTCACCAAGCTGTTGTTGATTGTGTTTGTGACCCTGAGACCTGAATACCATGACAGTTGGGCTGAAATAGCTCTGGGCTCAGTAAGATAGCTTAAGGGCCTGTGGGTACTGTGGGTACACACTGTTGCAATTGGGGCCTTACTGCTCTAAGCTAGGGTTACAGGACACTTGATTTTTCATTGAAAACCACTAACCTGCCTTTGAAGACTCATTTCATGTCTCCCTCACAACCTCAGGTCCTCACGCTGGTTTTCATTAAGCTTTGAGTGCATGAAACCCAGGTGCACCTTCTGCCGGTGGAGCGTGTTTGTGAACGGTCTTGTCTGGGTAGCTTGCGTTTTGGGAGCGGAGTGTTCCGAGCCTACCAGAGCCCGACTCCTGACAGGATCAAGGGACTTGACCCCCCAGATGCCTTTCTCAGTCCTGCCTCGCCTGTCCACTTTGAGTACACTCACAGACTCCGTCCCCACCTTGGGTTTATTTCTTAGGAATGTTTTTCTGTTGCCCACGTTCTGTAGTTAGGTTGTAGAAAGGTTGTGGGTACCATGGGTCACTCCTGGTGCTGACCTTGGCACCATCCTTTAGAGTTTCTCTAAGTCCTTCTTTTTTGTAAACTTTTTATTGTGAATGGAATGAGGGTTTACAGAACAGATCATTTAACTTCATTATCTTTTAATCCTTAGCTGCCCCTTCTGCTTATCACTATTCGTTAAAAGGCCAAAGTAAACCAGTTGCTGTTAAGTTGCCTCTGACTCATGCCAACCCACTGTGGGTCTGTGACCAATTTTTTTCAGATCACCAGGCCTTTCTTCTGGGCATCCATGGGTAGATTTGAATCACTTACCAGCAGTTGATTGTGTTGACTGATGCCATTCTACGGACTGTAGGAAGAGATCCCAAGAGGTCGGGAGGGGCTGATAGAGGGCTAAGGTTGGACCTGTCACCCTAGAGATTTTGGGAGGAGACCCAGAGAGGTCAGTAGTGTCCGAGGACTCTGGTTGGATTAGCCTTCCAAGAGACTGTGGGAGGAAACTCAAAGGTACAGAGGACTGGGGTTGCACCTACCACATCCACAAGGTGGCGCGCTCCACTCACACCCTGAATACTTTTGAACAGACTCCATGGGGTCTCTGGCCCTCTTAGGAAACTCTGGGTCTCCGCTGAGCTATGGGAGCCGACCTCAGAGTGGCTGGCACCCATGCTGTGGTCCTCCCTGACAGGTTTGTCTCTCTGTCTCCACAGCAGTCGCTGCTGGAGAAACAGCGCATCCTCACCCAGCAGCACGCGGATGCCAAAGAGCTCAAGGAAAACTTGGACCGACGGGAGCGAGTTGTGTTCGACATCCTGGCCAGCTACCTGAGCGAGGACAGCCTGGCAGACCACAAGCACTTTGTGAAGATGAAGTCAGCCCTCATCATCGAGCAGCGGGAGCTGGAAGACAAGATCCACCTGGGCGAGGAGCAGCTCAAGTGCCTGTTGGACAGCCTGCAGCCCGAATGGGCCAAATAGCCACCTTGGTGGTGGGCGGGAGGGGCCAGGCCACCCTGCCCGTGTTGGCCCTGGACAGAGCACGCCCCCACAAGGCCACTGTTGGGAAAGCAATAAGCCCCTGTTTGTGTGGATGCTTTATGGAATCGTTTGGTTTCCCTCTGCACCGCTGAGCCGCACGGCTCCATGCTGCCCTGTCCTTCAGCTTGACTCTGGCCCCGTCTCTGCCACAGCGTGCAGTCATCCAGAGCGTCAGTTTGCTGTTCCCCTGACTTCAGATGCTGTACCAACTGCCTGGGGTGCTGGTGGGTGTTTGCCCTCCCAGCCTGTCCTTCGGGACCCTGGCGCTGCCACCCACCGTGTGCGTCACCTCCAGGGCACAGCTGTCTTGGTGGTTTTGCTCTGCTTGAGTGGCAACGTGAGCATGTGTCGTCTCGTTCGTGCCCTGGCGTTTTCCGACCCAGCAAATCGCAGTGGTGATAGCAGTAATAATTTATGAACGGTTTGGAATGGCGGGTCAGTTTTTAGTGCTGTTAACTAACTGTGACACTCATAGGTTTGATCCACTCTTTCTCACATGATGTGGCCATGTAGCGGGTCACAGTGTGCACGCTCTCAGGCGCACTCACAGGCACAAGTATTCAGGTAGCTTGAGTGCTTCCCACTCAGTGGCACCAATCGAAGGACGTTTTCCCGCCAAGCAAATTAACTTGGGTTAAAAAGTGTGTGTCTAGTGATAATGTGCTTGTTGGATATTTGTTTCCTGAGACCAACTTAATATTTTTAACTTATGTTTCTCCCAACCCATCTGTGCTGTGTGTGTGTGGTCAGTCATGGTAGTTGGCTGTTTTCGTCTTGTTGCTTCCCCAAACCTGTGACCACTCTGTGAGAGAATGTTCCACTGTTTGTCAGAACCCTCCCTCTGGTCTTCCAGAGGGCCATCCTGTGAACCCTGCATCCACTAAGCATTATCTTGCTCTGCCACAGACTTGAGAGATTCCATGCACCTTGGATTGGTGGAGATTCTACAGGATTCTAGAACAAGTCTTTAGAGTGGAAGACATACTGCCCTGCTGTCATTTCCTAGTGATAAGCCATCATTGGGAGAAATGATTGGCAAATCCCATGTCTGATAAAAGACTTATATCTGGAATGTATAAGGAACACTTCCAACTCAACACTAAGAAAACAAGCAGCCCAATCAGAAACAGGCAGAGGACTTGAGCAGACCTTCACCAAAGTGGACATATGCATGGCAGAAATGCACATGAAAGGACATGTTTGACCTACCGTCACTGGGGTCGAACCTCCTTACTGTCATCTCATGATTGTAGATCGGTGTTTCTTCAAAAATTTCCGCCCAATTAAATGCATGGTTAATGGTGATAAAATCCCTGAGATGCTTTCCTGCTTAGGTATTATTAGGACATTGGTTATAGATTAAGGGATCATTTTAATCATGTTTTCCACTGATATCCATAAAAGAAGGTTTCTAGCAGTTGGGGCAGTGACCCTAGGTCAGCACTGACCACAGCTTTACTTAAACACAGAATGATTTTAAGGGGCCAGGCATGTGTACTGCACAAGCCACCAGCCCCACAAATGAACATGTATCCCATGGGTAAGTGGGGATGGATGGGCATGTGTCAGTCATGCTGGGACCAGCTGCCTTCCTGAAAGTTACCACAGGTCAGGAAACTAAGTGTTCTCTCACGTATTGACATTCCTGTAAGTGGCAGCATTTTCTAACGTCAAGAAGGAGCCCCTATTCCTCCTCCTCGCCTCCCTCTAGTTTGACCTGGCCAGGCCAAGAAAGGTGGAGCTGATTGTCCCCAAACCTTCATCATCTTCCTCTCCAGAGCAGACAGGAGTTAGGTGATGTTAGAGCATTTTGTTTCTGAGTTAGACAAAGCCTGGATTATTCCACCCGTGATGCCTCTCACCCCACCCCTCCAATGCAGTATTGTGAACATCTTGATGCTGTGTTATGTGTACTGTGAATAATAGAATCTGTGTGTCTGTCTCCAGACTTCTGATTTCATGTTTTCTAAGAGCTTTCTCTTACACATAGCAATATATCAGGTGATGTTAGCCTGTTAGCAAAGCACATCTCTCACCACAGCTGCCCTGTCCATTCCCCTCCGTGCCTCTTCAATGTCTGGTCAGCGGGGGCCCAAAGATTTCAGGGAGTGGATGTACACACTCTGTATATAATGCTATTCTTGCACTTAGCAACAATGTGGTGCTAGGGTCGGGCCTCAGCTTCCTAAGGCGGGGGCTGACTTCTCAGCTCTGTTACCTGCGGGGCTAAGCTGGGGAGTGTTCTGCCTGAAGAGATTTCCATGGGGGAATTACCCGGGACTCTTACCCATCGGCCCACCATGGGGAAGGTATACAGATTTCATGCTCTCAAACATTCTCCTGCTTGACTGTAACAAAATAAATAGTGTCTATTGGAGTGAACTCAGTGTGTCTTTGATTTACCCACGTTCCATCTCTAACAGAGGTGAGAGGCCTCGCTGTGTGTCAGAGCCTTGGACCACTGAGAAAGCTGTGCTGTGTTTCTTTGTGGGTAGATGTGGAACTCTTGCTGCCACCCAGTGAAAGCTGGTGACTTGGCAGTCAGGGGCTCGAAAAGGCTCCATAAAAAACAACCGTTGCACTTAGCAGTCTGAGCGAGGAAGATCTAACTCTCTTCAGAGTGTGTAGGTCAGCAGGTCAAGTGCTTAACCATTTGCACCACCCAGGGATTTTTAATCTCTAGTTGTTGCTGAAAAGCGTTGGCTGGTATTCCTATTTTCTCCTCCATTCTTGGGACTTGCCACCCCTGCTAGCGAACCAACTGTCAGAACCAAGCTGACATCTTCCATGTGTGGCACGGGAAAGGCATCTCGTCTGTCCTGGAGCAGGCTTGTGGAGCCGAAGGTCAAATGGTTGGGGGAGATGGGCTCTTTTTAATAAAATAAAAACCAATTTCAAAGTTAAGTAGAATACATGTGTATTTGGAATGGGGACAAATGGCACCACATGCTACAAATTTTACAAAAGGTTTTACAGCTTTTACTTTTTGGCTTTTACCAGGCTCCTTCAACCCTGTCTTATCTGAGATCTGAAATGATGGAGAAATTACTGGCTTCTTGAGCGTGGCAGGTGCAGTTTTAGATTCCTGCGCTTGTGTTGGCTCTTGCCCTATCATCAGATTCTCCTTACCTATGTGCCATGTCTCCCTGGTGATGGCTCACTCGGCTTTTAGCAGAACTCTGTATCTGGGTGTGTGTTTGCTCTTTGGTGTGGAAACAGCCAGCTTCATCTGGACATGGTGAGCTGGGACTGTTAGGGATTGATTTCGAGTTTCTTTGTTATGCTAATGAAATTGTGTCAGTATCCCTTTTAAGGCATAAAAGGAGCAGAATAGGCACAAAGAAGGAAGCCCAGATAGTGGGGAGATGCCATGGGGAGGTCACCAAGAATCTAAGCAACAAAAGCTGAAAAGAGACCAGAACCTTCTTCCCGAGCTGGTGGAGAGAGTGAACCTCCCCACAGCTGGTGCCTTGAATTCAAACGTGTAGCCTCCTGAACTGTGAGAACATCAACTTGTGTTCATTGAAAGCATCTAGCTACATGTGATGGGCACCATGAAGGAAGTGGGCACTGATGGTTGGTTAGTAAATGTTAACTGTCATTGAGCTAAGCCCTTACGTGTGGCGACCCCAGGCACAATGACACTAAATGCTACCAGGTCTTGTGTCCTGTCACCCTCTGCCCCCCAAAACTGGTGAAGGCCAAAAGGATACCCTGATCAACTAATGGGCATTTTCATAAGCATCTAGGCCTAGCAACCAAACATAGAATGTTATGGGTGTAATAGGGCGGGGAGCGGTTGATAGAACACTGGGGAGAGGGCCTGGGCAGCGAGCCAAGTACACAGTGTTGCTGAGGACTCCTACCAGGCTATACTCAGGAGCCAGAGATAATGTAAGACAGCATGTGTGTATGTTGGTCCACTGGACCTATGAACTAGATGCCCACCAGATCAGACCCTGCTCCATGGGAAACCTCTGTCCTGGTTAGAGATGGCTCTGTCTGTGACAGACGTGGGCTCGGGTTAGTGGGGAATCTGCCTGTGACAGAGGTGGGCCTGGGTTAGTGGGGGCTCTTATCTGTGGGAGACCACTTCCCTGGTTAATGGGGGCTCCGTCCTTCTTGATTGGGTTTGGGTTCCTTGGTGTGAAAAGTCTGTCTCTAGCTCACAACGACTCATGGGCCTTACACTGACCCCTGCTGACACCCCTGTGAGCCAGAATAGAGCTTCGCTCGAGAGGGTTTTCAGTGGCTGGTTTTTTTGAAGGAAAATTGTCCAGCCTTTCTTTCCTAGTGTCTCTGGGTGGGTTCAGACCTCCTACCTTTCATCTAGTAGCTAAGCACATAACTGTTAACACCAGTGTCTTGTTAATCTAGTGCTGCTGTAACAGAAATACCCCAAGAGGATAGTTTTATCAAACAGCAATTTTTTCTCTCACAATTTAGGAAGCGAGAAGGCGGAGTCAGGGCACTAGCTCTAGGGGAAAGAGTTCTCTCTCTCCAGGCTCTAGAGGAAGGCTCTTGTCGCCTTTCAGCATCTGTTGGCCTTGTGTCCCTTGAAGGTCTCCATGTGTCTTGGCCTCAATTTTCTCCTGGATCTAGGTGGTTCTCAGAGCAGGGACCCCTGGATCAAAAGGCTGTGCTCCGCTCCGCTCCCCACTTTCCTTTCTTGGTGATCTCTGCTCACTTGTTTAATCCTTTCAGATCTCAAAAGAGATCGACTCAAGATACAAGCTAATTCTGTAGATTGTATTCTGCCTGGTTAGCAGAACTGCCTCTAATCCTTCCACACTGACTTGGAAGAGATGAAGATTGACATCCCATCACAAAATGAAGGATAATTACATTATACTGAGGATCATAGCCTAGTCAAGTTGACACACACTGGGGTGCAATTCAATCCATAACAACTATCCAGGGACACTCTGTAAATGTTACCCATTGCCATTCCAGATACTGAGCCACAAGATCTTTCCAGAAAGAAGAATGTAAGAGATTGTTGAGTTCAACTCCCCATTTTACAGATGAGAAAATAAAGTCTTTGAGGAGGGGGTCTTACTTAGTTAGATTGCCCCCAATGACACCTGGACATCAATGACAAAATGAGAGAGAATTCCACTGTCTCCTGTCACCTGAAGACTCTAGTTTGACCACAGCTTTGACAATCGAGCCACATGGCCCGAGTGTCTACAACACTCAGTATTCAGTAAGCCCACACTGTGAGGACAGGTGTGGGCCAAGGAGAGGCACAACAGTGCCCCTTACCCCACTTTGTCCCCTGTATCCCATTCCTTTCTTGTTTGTTGACATGGGGTTAGTCCCAGGCATGCCAAGTAGAACTGCTCTCCACAGGGTTTTCAAGGCTGTGACCTTTTGGAATCAGATTTCCAGGCCTGTCTTCTGAGCCACCTCTGGGTGGATGTGAACTTCCAAACTTTGGACTAGTAGTCTTCATAACTGTCTGTGGGACTCAGGGACTCCACCTCCCATTCTTTTGCCAGTATTGGAAAGCCGCTCCTCTCAGACCAAAGCACTGTCTTTGGTTTAACCAAGCGGACTCCCAGTGAAAGCTGCAGATCAGCCCTCCCCCAAAGGAAAGAAGACATTTCCTATGTGGTATAAATAGACTTCTCTTCTAGAGCTTCCTGTGGTAGGTAAAGAACCCCAACTGAGATCTGTGTTCCAGAAAGATGTGCTGGTACTGACCCTGCACTGGTGAAGGTGGCCTTGTTCAGGTAGCTGGGATTCCTCTTTGCAGTCATTAAACGCTAACCCCTTCTGAGTGGCATCTTAAAGATGAGGACAAAGACGGAAGCAAATCACATCGAGGGAACACAGGCTTTGTCTTGGTTTTCTAGTGCTGCTTTACCAGAAATACCACGAGGGGTGACTTTATCAAATAGACAATATTTTCTTAAAGTTTAGGAAGCCAGAAGTCCAAATTTAGGGTGTCAGCTCAAGGGGAACGCATTCTCTCTCTGTTGGTGAGGAAGGTCCTGGTCTCTTCTGAGTTTCTGCTCCTGGATGATCTTCATGGGACTTGGCATCCCTCTTCTCCCACCTATGCTTGCTTAATATGCTGTTTTGTCACTCAAAAGAGCTTGATTTCATATACACCCTTTGCTTGACTGGTAACCAAAAAGTTGGAAGTTTGAGTTCACCCAGAGCCCCCTTGGAAAATCAGCCATTGAAAACCCTGTGGAGGCACATGTGGATACGTGACACACATGGGGGCACCATGAGTTGGAGGCAACTCGACGGCAACTGGTTTGGTGGCTAAGTCACACCTACTTTTGTTCTTGATTTCTACTATAATCACAAAGAATCCTGCTGGAAAAAATACCACTCTGTCCATGTAAGAATACCCCACTTGCTGTGAATAAGGTGACAATAACAAAAATGCTAATAGCAACTAAACATCATGAAGCACGTGCTAGGTTATGAGATCCAATATTCTTAGCATACCCAAGAAGTATGTGAGCTTATTGGCTTAATTTTGCAGGTTAGGAAGGTTCTGTTTAGACAGGATAGCTAGCTGGCTTGCGCAGAGTCACACAGTGAGTCCTCTTGTGTCGTACCTTCGACTTGATTCTTACTCAGGTTCATGAGAAATTCAGCTAACTAAGAACTGGGAAAAAAGTGCAATATCATGGTTCTCTCGGTGACCATAAAGTCCCTCCCCTTGGTTCCCCCAGCCCTAGCCTCACACCATGGTGGTGGACAGCACAGACATCATCATTCTCATGCTGAAGCGACTCCTGAATGGACTGTCATTATTAGCCAAAGCACAACAATCATGCACTGCGTGCAATTTGGGGCATCACTAAAGGTTTACGTGAAAGAGGAGATAACCACTCGTCACCAGGAGGATTCTGGATCTTCTCTTCTGAGACTTGTTTTCTCTGTTTTACAGATACTCGACTTCAGAGAATCCCTTCCTGGGGGCCCTCAGAAGGTGCGGCATGAAACCCCAAGAGGAAGACCCACCTTTCTTAGCTATTGCACCCTCTACTTCTCCAGTCTGCACCACTCTGGCTAGCTCCAGTTTTCCCAGAGATATCCAGGAAGAAGAAGACCATGAAAGGTATTCTAAAATTTAGCTGTTGTTAAGTGCCATCGAGTCAGTTATAGCCTATAGCAACCATGTCAAGTGTTTCTGAGGAGCAGCTGGTGAGCTTGAACCATCGACCTTGAAGTTCAACCGGCTTTGCAGTGTTGTGCATTAACCCACAGCGCCACACCAGGAGTGCCAACAACCTCCCCCACCCCCCACTACTCTCTTCCTCCAGAACAGGGGTGGGGAACGTCAGGACCATGGGCCATATAACGCCTGTGAAATCATTTGTTGTGGCTTTGCCAAGACTACCACACGATTCCAACCATCACATTAGGGATGAGTTCATGAAATGTTTGGCCAAATATAACAGGCTAATGTTTAAGTTGATAATTTTGTATGGCCCGCAAATGATGTTATAAATTTTGGCAGAAAAAAAGGTTCCCCACCCCTGCTCTAGAAGATCAGGCCTTATTTACATCTTCTCATGGTTGAATGATTGGAAACTCCAGGAAAGAATGAAGAAAATAAGTATTTTAACACCCAAAGATGATATTTGGATGTTCTGCCTTCTAAACTTTTAGATAGATGGATAGATAAATAAGCATAGATAGAGATTTAAATAAAAAGATACAGAAGAGTCCTTGAGTGGCAAAAACGGGTAAGCACTTGACTACAGATCAAAAGGATTGTGGTTTGAATCCAGCCAGAGGAACATTGGAAGAAAGGCCTAGTGATCTACTTCTGAAAGTTCACAGACATTGAGAATCCTGTGGAGCACAGTTCTACTCTGACACATATGGGGTTGCTATGAGTCAGAATTGACTTGACAGTAACTGGTTCTGGTGTATGCATGCTGTTGTTAGGTACTGCCGAGTCAGTCCTGACTCAAGTACAACACAACAAGACACTTCTTGGTCCTGCACCATCCTCACAATCAAATGTTTGAGCCCATTGTTGCAGCCGCCGTGTAAGTCCATCTCAGGGAGAGGTTTGCTCTTTTCACCTTCTCTAGGGACTGGTCCCTCCTGACAATATGTCCAAATACATGAGATGAAGTCTCCCAATTCTGGCTTCTTAGGAAGAGTGTGTCTACACTTCTTCCAACACGGATTTGCTCATTCTTCAGGCATTCCAAGCTATATTCAACATTCTTCACCAATATCATAACTCACCAAGGCATCCATTCTTCTCTGGTCTTCCTTATTCACTGTCCAGCGTTCACATGCATATGAGATTACTGAAAATACCATGTGGGTCAGGCTCACCTTAATCTTCAAAGTGATATTTTTGCTTTTTAACACTTTAAAGAGATCTTTTGCTGCAGATTTGCCCAATGCAATATGTTGTTTGATTTCTTGACTGCTGCTTCCATGGATATTGATTACGGATCCAAATAAAATTAATTCCTTGCCAACTTCAATAATTTTTTCATTTATCATTCTAATGCTTACGAATCCAGTTGTGAGGATTGTTGTTTTTCCTTTATGTTGAGGTATAATCCGTACTGAGGACTGTAGTCTTTGATCATCATTATTAAGTGCCTCAAGTCCTCTTTGATTGTTAGCAAGCTAAGTGTGTCCTCTGTTGCAGGTTGTTAATGAGTCTTCCTCCAATCCTGATGCCATGTTCTTTTTCATGTAGTTCATCTTCTCAGATTATTTTCTCAGCATATAAATTGAATAAGTATTATGAAAGGATACAATCCTGAGACATACCTTCCCTGATTTTAAACCATACTGTTCAAATTATTGTCTCTTGGTCTATATACAGGGTCCACATCAACACAGTGAAGTGTTCCAGAATTCTCATTCTTTATCCATCATTTGTTATGAACCACCCAGGTGAATGTCTTTGCATAGTCAATGAGACTCAGCGGAACATCTCTCTAGTATTCTCTGCTTATAGCTAAGATTCTTCGGACAGCAGCAATGATATCTTTTGTTCATGTCCTCTTCCAAATCTGGCATGAATTCTGGCAGATCCCTGTTGATGTACTGCTACAACCATTTTATAATGATCTCAAAGATATCCTTTTAAAACAAAACTGGCACCATATAAAGACATCATACACATCTACACACATTATTTTGCTTTCCTTTCCCCACATAGCATACAGTAAGAGTTTTCTCTCAATAAACATCTTTGAAAACTTCATTTAGATGATGGCCTGATATGGTAAATTGTGAATAATGATGTCATTTACCTAAGTATCTCCTATTCCCTGACACGTTCATGATCTCTAGGCTTTCTGTATCTCCAGCATCCGTAACACAGCACGAGGCGGATCCCAATTCTCTGGCTCACCCTTTGCCGTTAAATCGATGGCGTGTGTGTCAGAGTAGGACTGTGTTCCTTAGGGTTATGGAGTAAATTCGTTTTCCATTAAAATTTTTATATGCATTTTGTTTTGTGACATTGGTTGCAATCTCCTCAATGTAACAACAGTCTTCCTACTTCCTCTCTGGGTTCCCATTCATCCTTTTGGTCCTGCCCCCTCCAGCCTTTGGAACTTTATTTTTTGGGCAGATGTTGCCTTTTAATCTCATATGGTTGATTGTCCTGAGCTATACATTCCTCCTCTGTGATATTATTCACTTTATAGTCCTCTCTGTTGCTGACAGTTGAATCCTGGGTGTAAGTTCAGTTCCAGGCTTGAAGGGCCACAGTCAAAGGGTTCCACCAGTCAAACAAAATGATAAGTCTGGCCTTTTTTATGACTTTGAATTTTGTTGTACATTTTTTCCCTCCTTCTCTGTCCATGACTTTTACTATGATCCTAATCAGAGACATTGGTAGTGATAGCAAAAGTGCCATCTAGGCCTTCTAGTCTCAGGGTAGTGAGGCTTATAGTCCTTTGGACTAATTGTTACCTGAGTCTTTGATTTTCTTCACCCATTTTGGCTCAGGACAAAGAGAGACCAATAGTTGCAGCCTAGATGGGCATTTTCAAGCTTTTACAACCACCACAGTTGCTACTCACCAAAGTTGTCTTTGTGTTATGCCAACTGACCGAGATGTCTCCCAAGACTGTGTTCCTAAGTCCTCAAGTCCAGTGACTCCTTCTTCATAATGTTTTCATGGCTGTGACCTTCCTTCTGAGGTAGCTTTGTGTGTACTTAAGCCACCAACCTTTTGGTTAGCAGCTGATCACCTAATTGTTTGCACCATCCAGGAACCTTTTTGTCATTGATTCCAAGAAGTGGGATATTGGGTCAAAGGGTGACCACTCTTGTAATGTTTGTACCCTTGATATTCATCCACCAGTTCCTTTCTATATGTTTGTATCATCGTACGCTCCACCATTTCTCTTTAATTACAAAAGTAATAAGGTTTGAAACCCAAAATTAACAAGAAAAGGACTGGTGTCCCAGTATGTGTGGGAGCATTGTGGCTCTGTAGGATAAACACTGGATTGTAACCATAAGGTTGGCAGTGTGAGCCCACAAGCCTCTCTGCAGGAGAAAGATGAGGCTTTCTGCCCCCACAAAGATTTACAGATTTGGAAGGGACGCTGTAAGTCAGAACCAACTCATTGGTACTTAAAAAACAATAACAACTCCCAGTATTCAGACACATCTTCTTTTGTATCTTGCTAGCATATTTTATGACAATATCATTAATATCAGATGCAAGTAAAATTTTGCTAAAGATAATTCAAAAATGGTTGTAACCATCTATTGACAGAGAATTGCCAGAGCTTTAAGCTGGATGCAGATGAGGACGTGGAATGAGGGATATCATTGCTGATGTCAGCTGGATCTTGGCTGAAAGCAGAGAATACCTGTGCTTGATTGACTACGCAAAGGCTTTCAATTGTGTGGATCATGACAAGCTATGGATAACAGTGGGGAGAATGAGTATTCTAGAGCACTGAATTGTGCTCATGAGGAACCTGTACGTAGACCAAGAGGCAGTTGTTCGAACAGAACAAGGGAACACTGAATGGTTTAAAATCAGGAAAGATGTGTTCCAGGGTGGTATTCTTTGACCTTACTTAGTATGCTGAGCACACAATCCAAGCAGCTGGATTGTATGAAGAAGAATGTGGCATCAGTATTGAGGAAGACTCATTAATGTGTTGAATTAGGCAAATCTGGGCACAAGACCTCTTTAAAGTGTTAAAGAGCAAAGATGTCAGTTTGAGAACTAGGGTTCGCCTGCCCCAAGCCATGGTATTTTTAATAATCTCATATGCATGTGAAAGTTGGACAGTGAATAAGAAAGACTGTAGAAGAATTGATACATTTAAGTTGTAGTATTGGAGGAGTCCTCGTTTGGTGCTGTGGGGTAATGCACTGGTCTGCAAGGTCAGTTTTAACTGCAAGGTTGGTGGGTCAAGCTCTCTAGCTGCTCCTCAGAAACCCTATACAGGGTCACTATGAGTTAGAACCGACACAATGGCACTTAACAATAAACAACAACAATTGGAGGAGGTTATTGAAAGTACCATGACTGTCAAAAGAACAAACCATTCTGTGTCGAAAGAAGTACAGCCAGAAGGCTCCCTGGAAGTCAGGATGGCCAGACTTCATCTCTCATACTTCACACATCTTGTCAGGAGGGACCAGTCCCTGGAGAACGATATCATGTTCAGGAAAGTGGAGGGTTGGAGAAAAAGAGGGAGTTTTCCCATGAGATGGATCAGCAGAGTGACAGCAGCTATGGGCTCAAGTGTAGCAAAGATTGTGAGGTTGGCCCAGGACCAGGCAGTGTTTCATTCTGTTGTGCATAGGGTCACTATGAGTCAGTACCGACGCAATGGCACCTAACAAAAACAACAACCAAGCATAGTTTATGATGGACAAAAATTAGATCGTATTATATACTTGCATGTTTGTTTCTGCTTCTTAAATTCAACCCTTGTTCTAAATAATTTTTTACTGTAATAACTGCTAAATATTACAGTGAATGGATTACTTGAATCTCTAGTAAGTCTGACACTATATGAGAGACAGTCAAAAATTATTGCTACTGATGTTTTAGTTCATACATGTATGAGTTTATTCCAAACAAAACATGCTTAAATATATCTGTATAATCAATGGATGGCTGCAGACAAGTTCTCTCAGTAATGTACTTGTCGTAGTCTCTTTGTGGTTGTTAAATACCATCAAGTTGGATCCAACCATAGCAACCCTGTGTAGGGTTTCTGAGGAGCAGCTGGTGAGTTTGAATTGCTCACTTTGCAGTTCAAACCGACCTTGTGGTCCAGTGTTCTAAGGGCAAAAGAAAGAAATATCTAATCAAAATCATGGCTTCTGAGGGGATCTGCTGGGCCAGTTAAATTCAAAGCAGGGAGGGCAGCTCAGAAGATTATGGTCATTGTGTTCTTGGAATTCCAAAATACAGACTTTTCTTTAAGGGTCAGGATAATCAGAAGTCTGTGCGTTTCAAGCTTTCAGTAAATAATTGCCAATGGCTCTTCACAACATTTGCTCAGTCTACGCTCTCACCAGCAGAGTGTGAGGCCCTAGAGCTTTCTCTCTTGAGTCTAGCACGTCCCTCCTGGCTACTCCCAACCCTAAGACGGTTGTCCCAGGCTGAGGATCCCATGCTCATGATGTCCTGTATTTGTTTACAGTGCCACTGTGAATGCTGCCACCGTGGTGGTCCTCATCAAAAGCACCAATTACCAAATAGCAGGCTTCATTGCTGCCACCTTTGGATGGGTCCTGTCTATCCTTGCCATGGGTCTTGCAGATTGGCGATTGTGGCAAATAGACCACAACCTACCCTACTACTCCCCTGGCGTGGTCCGTGCGGGAATGTGGAGGATCTGTGTTTACTACCACAACAGCAGCACAAACATATTTTGTCACCGTTACAGTTATTCTGACACCTTCCTCCCTCTCGAGATCCGTATTTCACAAAACCTCCTGCTGGCTACTACCGTTCTAGGGCTCCTGGGGAGAGTCTCCATCATCTTGGCAATTAGAGGCCTATACAGGGAAATTCCTCAGAAGACTGTCACCTGCAAGTACTTTGTTATCACAGGAATCCTGAACGTATTAGCCAGCGCCTGTATCTCAACTGTTGTGATCTGGAATTACTACACCACGATGAAAAAAGAGGGCACTCTCCTCCCACCTTTTTACTATGTGCCCATCAAGCCCAACACTCAGGAAATTGGGGGTGCCTTTCTGATGGCGACATTTGCTGCCCCACTGATGCTGCTCAGTGCATTTCTTTCTCTTTCATTTAAACTTTCCAAGGAGCGTGAGGTGTATCCTGAGGGTGTAGACTCCTAAGTTTGCACTAGTTTTGCAAACCCACGGCATTCAGGGGTTCCATGGGCAGTATGACTTGTCCTTTCCAGGGTCTCAAGACCATGATGAAAGTTACTTTTGACAGAAAGCTCTAAATAAACTCTATTGTTATTTCCTATATCTGAATTTGGTTCATCGATTGGTTGGTTGAATTAAGGAATGTTAATTTAAAAAAAAAAAAAAATCTTGCGTACTTGCCAATTGGTCTTCCTGCATTGGAATTTAATTACTGTTAGTTAAAATGTTTAACCAATGCTATAAACTTAGTGTTTATAGCACTAAGTGTTCCCTGGTGAGCAGTGGATTGAGTGTTGGGTTGCTAGCTGAAAAGTTGGTGGTTCAAACCCACCGGCCATTCCGAGGGGGGGAAATGAAGCAGTCTGCTTCCAGAAAGATTTACAGCTTGGGAAACACTATGGAGCAGTTGTGCTCTATGCTACAGAGTCCCCTGAGTCAGAATTAACTTGATGACAGTAGGTTTGGTTTTGGTTTATAAACGTAGTGTATGGAAATGAGAATTTTTGTGCTCATTAACCCCTCATCACACTTTTCTCTAATTGCCTACTAAAACCATCCATTGACCTTATTTCCTATGGCATGGTAATAACATCTCTTTTATTATCCAGAAGTTCCCAAGATGCACAGAAATAGAACAAAGAGTGTAAGGATTCTGCTGTACTAGCGAGATCGTTCAACAGCTTGGGGCAAAAAGGTCCACCTCTGGAAGAAACAGTCCCAGTCTGTGTTAGGTGTAGTTATTGACCTCAGTGGCATGGGACAGACTGAGAATCTGGGCACATTCTAATGGTAGGTCCCATCTGGGATATTAAAACTAGTTATCCACCAAATGCATCCATTGTCCAGTGTGACAGAAACCAACAAAGGCACACAGAATGAAGAGCAGAAGGCACAGCTTTATTGCTGGATTTGTAACAGCCAAAGCTGGGGTAACTCTTCATGAAATACCAAGTGCTCCACAGTTGGAAAGGGGAGAGAGCGGTTTATACAGGAGGGCTGGGGGCTATACATGAGTCACAAGTTAATCTGTGTTTCATCATAAAATATCAACATACATAAACTCCATACACAAGCATTTATTTCAAACATTTTGGAACATCCTTATTTGTTTAACCATAAACTATAATTTTGTCATATATCACTCAAGTTTTCTTTCTTAGAACAAAACATTTTATCATAGTTTTAAGTATGTCTGATTCACTCAAGGGAGCGTGCACATATTCTGAAAGCCAGAACAAAAGGGACAAAGGGAATTTGGATTCTAATATGTGTCAGTCACTTAGTCAAGCCAGGTGCCTCAGTTTATGACCCATCTCTGGTATCAGCAAACCTCTTGACTATCTGATTTCTCAAAGAGTTACAATTATCAGTTAGGCAGGTTTGCATAGACTAAGTGGGACAGAGGTAAATAATGATGTATGCACAACCTTGGAACAACAGGGCTCTGGGATACAGGGATTGAGGCATGACTTGAATTAGTAAAAGAGGGTAAATAATATTAAGATGCTTGGCTGTCTTTTGAATCTTGGTTTCCCTTGCCTACTATTATAAAATAGACACTTGAGGGGGAGAGAAAGGAATAGCCAGTCAGAAACGTCACCATAGAAAGCTTGTAAGTTCATCTTCAGTCTATAACAGATTGGAATACCTAAAATGGGGCTAGAACGTACCCAATGAAGAAGGCTTCCTGTGGAGCCTCTGCATCACATAAGGCCATAGGTGGAATCCTGATCTCCATTCAGAATCTTCTGAGGTGGGAAATTTCCACTTGAAAGGACAAGCAGACCAGCCTGGAGCAGCTAGAAGAATAGAAGATACTTCTTGAAAGAAAGACCAGCAGGAAAAATCCAACACAGTAATGGCAGTCTGACTGACTACTACAAGCAAGTTGTTTCCCTGGGAGCCATCAGGGCACGTGGTTGGGTCCCCTCAGGGTAAACCCACTTCCAAGACTGAGACTCAAGGGTAATACACGAGCAGGCATGTGGTCTTGCTGGTGACCACGTTGGTCTACCGGTAAGGGGAAGTGGGGGATAAACAGCAATGAACTTATGAGCTAAGTCCAACCACGTTCAATAGATTCCTGTCAACCTGGGTTGAGATCTGGTTGGCCAGCAGTATTGCAAGACCTGGGGGCTCCTGGGACCAAAGACAGAGACTATGCTCCATAGGGTTTTCATGACTGTAGTTTTTCAGAATGGACCCCTGATGGTGCAATGGTTAAGTGCCCGACTGCTAACTGATAGGTTGTCGGTTTGACCAGTTCCTCCAGAAGAGGTGGTTTGCGTCCATAAAGATTTCAGCCTTATAAACCCATGGGCAGCTCTACTCTATCCTATAAGGTCACTGTGAGTTGGAATTGACTCATTCAAAGACAATATATAATTTTTTAATTGAGACTTTTCAAAAGTAGATTGCCAGGCTTTCTTCTGAGGCACCTGTAGGTGAGTTACTAAAAAATTGTCACTGAGTCGATTCTGACTCATACTAACCCTATAGCATAGAGTAGAATTGATCCATAGGATTTCCGAGGCCATAATCTTTATGGAAGCAGACTGCCTCACCTTTCTCCCAGAAAGAGGCTGGTAGGTTTGAACCCTTGACTTTTTGATTATCAG